GTCCCCTTCCTGCCCCAGGGGGGTGCACATCCGCAGCCCCCGCAGCCAGAGGCTGACGGCGCAGCAGGTCCCGGGGCCGCACTGAGGGTCCCGCTCGCAGGCCTGGGGAGAGGGGGGATGGTGGGTGACTGGGACCGCACTGGGAACCCCCACTCCCCCTCTTCTGGGGTGGGCTCAGTGGGGAAATCAGCCCACACGAAGCTGCTGGGTGCACAACTCCTTATTGGGGGTTTAAAGGAGAGGGGTTGATTGTTTCCAGCTCCCATTTTGGGTTAAGCTGAGCGGATTTCGGGGCAGAGTTGGGGTTTGCAGAATGAAGGGGGAAATCCCTCATGGGAGGGACAGAGGGAAAATTTGCAGCTGCCAAATTTAAAAGCGGCGTCGGTGCCACATCCAAGCAGCGGCATCGGGGGAGAAACTCACACATCGCCCCTTGGAGTCTGCTAAAATCTGCTAAACAATGCAAATGCCCAGTGCTTTTTCTTCTTTTTATTAGTAGGGAGCAGATTAATGCCAACAACTCTGTCTCTCCATGGAAAACAGTCACCCCGGGGATGGGGAAACTGAGGCACGGCTGCGAATACTGCAGCAGCTCACCCCCACGCCTGGCAACCCATGAGGATGCTGAGGAGAGGTGGATGGGAGCACCTCGGGCACCAAGAAGATCTCATTTTGTCCCCCAGGACCATCACTGGAGCAGCTCATCGCACCTCTCGACCCTCTTTGTGACCCGTTTTCATGGTGGCAGGTGAAGAACCGATGAGGCTCACCCAAATTCTCACTGGAGTCACCCCCTCCTCAGGGCACCTCCCTCCCAGGGGTCCCAGCCCAAGGTCCTTACTTGTACAGGTGAAATCGGGTGGAAACAGCAACTGGAGGAAAACCACGAGGGCAATGGCTGGAGCAGGGTAATTTTGGGGTGCAGTAAGGGGACTTTGCAGCACCTTCCCTTTCCTGAAGGAAACCTGTTTATCTCTGAGCAGCTAAAGCACCTTATAAGACCCAAACACTTAAAAATCTGATTTGGGCAATGCTGGACCCTCATCTGAAAACTTGGGGGGGGCTGATGGGGGCTGCAGGGAACTGGGTTGGGGAAACCCAGCTGAAAAAAATCACAGGTTTGAAACAAATGGGTCTGAGTGGAAGGGGTTTTGGGGAAAAGAGGAGCCAAGAGGCAGCTGAAGTCAACCACAAAACCCCCATGACTTGGGAAGAGCTGGGAGGCAGAGGGATGCAAACGTCACATCTTGGTTTTTAACAGATTTTTCACTGCCAGGGGGAAAAAGGGGGGGGGGTTCAGCCAAGCCTGGGCTCCCAAAATGCCACAAAAGCTTGGATTCTGTCCCCAAAACTTGCTGCTCCTCTTGCTTTTGGCATCACCCTCAGCACAGACCTGGTGAGCCCCAAAATCCCATTGACACAGCATCGTCCCTCCACTTTGCCTCCCCAAAATTTCCCCTTCTTTTAATAACTGCTTTTAATTTGGGAGGAAAACAACCTGAGATGCTCGAGCCCTTGTCCCAGTTGGGACCATGCTCTGGGGGATGTCCATAAAGAGAAATTTATTTTTCCCAGCTGGAAAACTTCCTAAAATCCCCCATTTCTCTGCATGCCAGGGGCTGAGAAGAGGAGCGGAAAGAGCAGCTCATGGGGGCAACTTTACACACGCAGGGGATGGGGCTGACTGTGGGGATGGCAGCCAGGAGTGGGAAAAATGAGTCATAAATTGGGGAAAAATAAAAGAGAAAAAAGAAACCAAACAAAATAAAAGATATACAAATATAAAAAAATATTTAAAATATTTAAAAATATAT